ATTAAAATATCCAAAATGATTAGAAAATTACGTCATTGATGAGGTAGGGGTTTCTGTACTTTAACGAAGAGACAGAAGGGTGGAAGAGGAGAGGGCACTTGGTCAGTAAGGTAGGATACTCTGATGGTAAGACTCGATAATGTAGATCACTCCGTCAGTAAAGCAGAGTTTTATTTACAGAATGTTCTACAACTAAGTTCGCTGCCCTATCGACAGAGTCTTGTACCTTACTGAAATAACCCCAAAACGTACAACATGAATTATAAACATTATGTTCAGGAAAAGGGTATTAACTAACTAAATTTTCTGCTGTAACCAAGACGGTGAAAACCTAAAAACAAACGAAAAATAAGCAAAGGAAAGATTACTTTCTCACATTTGATCCCTTTTAGAGACCTTTAACACGACTTTTTTACAGAAACTGTTTTTAAGACGTATCCTTATGATATACGTCGGCGTTGTTTTCGATAAACGTTTCGACTCGAGAAATGTTTCCCTTTATCTCAGTGTGGTCCTGCGGAACACCGTATTCTGCCTTGTTTGCCTGCACGAGGAGAAGCATACCGGGAGTCGGGATACCTCCTCGTGCTAAGTTCATCCAATACGTCGTGGATCTTGAAAGGTTTGCTGACGTGGGGCCTGATTGGTTGGTGTTTCAGTCGCCGGATACTCAGGCGTGGCAGAATGATTACCTGCAGGGCACGGGCTGCGAGATGTACACGGAAACACTCTCCCCGTCCTTTACCGGGATGACATTTCCCCAAGCCAGCGAGTAAGTCCTCGCTGCCATTGGCTGCCACACTTGCAAACTTTTTGAATACCAAGGACAATAGCGTACATACAAAGAAATTCACACGCAAAACCATATACACACAATAGCATATAGATGCAAAATATATACATACAAAGCAAACACACACTAACCATACAAACACAAAGAAACACAGACACGTAGCAATCGAGTAAAATGATACATCTAAAGTCTGAACGGAACACGTCACGCGAAAACACTTGAGAGACACACTCGAGTGCGAGATTTTCTTTATTCTATCTGACTCGATCCTTGGATCTCGCACATCACGCGACTCAACACACACACACACACACACACACACACACTTTTGTGTATTTCCGACATCGTTGTGAGACATGTACATACACTTGTACGTGGATACGAATGTCACCTCGGTTTTTTTGCTCCTTGAACGTTCCTTTACTTCTATCAGAACATTGTTAGCCAGCGTAGTTTGTCTTTTTTCGTTTTTTAATTCGTTTTCGTTTTCCTTTTCCTTTTTTATGGTTTTGGTAATTTTGGTATTCTGGATGTATTTTGACATTTTATATACGCATACAATCGATCATTTTATCCCAGTCGTTGTAGCAACGTCTGTCGTACTTTTTTTAACGAATACTTTGCTTTTTCTCTTATTCGACTTTTCTACCAATATATCTATATATTTTTACGCTACATAGAAGTAGTTATTAGTGGGACGAATGCAGATTTCACCAGCAACTAAACCGTCGTTAAGCACTGTTAGCGTGTTTTTGTGAGCACTATCTTAGAAGTGGACGAAGGTTGCAAAGATAACAAAAAAAGTCATTCTTTTGAACATATACCTTGTTAGCTTTAGTGTCTCGAGGTACAATCACTATCGATAACAACAGTTTTCGTAAGAAAAAAATGGCTGTACTTCCAAAACACAATCCAGTATAATATACAACACTACATAATATAATAATATACAGAAGTCTGTATCGACTGTGGACGATTGATTTCTTACGTTTGAATTATCTTTTCTTTTATTAAAAATTTCATTCCTTTATTGATTTTCAGGTGCAAGCGTTTGCGCTGTTTTAGTTAGTGCGTGTTACAATATTTAAAACAGGTGTTTAATGGAATCAATACTTTTGTGTGTCAGCTTTTACTGCAATCGCAACGACGGTGACATGACTTTCTCGACACGTTAATTTCTCATGAGTTTCTCCAAATTCATTTTTTGTTATGCTGTTTGAGAAACTCTAGATTTTCCATTTTTCTTTAGTCTTATTTTTTTTCTTCTCTTGCACGGATCGAATAACGCTGAGCGCGTCGCATAATACTTGCCGCTGAGAAAAGTTGCTTTTTTGTTGATTGAATTTGTAAAATTACAGAAAGGGTGGTAATCATTTAATTGAGTTATGCAAAACGAACTATTTCATTGGGTATATACCATCAAGATATGTTTCCATTCAGGTGGTCAAATTGTTCACCCAAGTACACAAACAAAAAGTGGAATGTATCTATTCAATTTGGTAGGTTAATTAAAACGAAAATATCAAATGGTGGCACGAAAGTGTTTTAAAGGTATATTCGAAAATAATTTAAACCATGAGAGACGCGTAATATTGAGTATCTACCTACAACTTGGATATCGTGTCTGTTCGTAAATGTGTTTGTAAACATTGACAATGGCGTAATATTCACTGATTTTCATTGATCCTTATACCTTTTATTTAAATTAAATCAATTAAAACAAATATCTTAATGACTCGTCATATAGGTAACTTGACGTTTGGAAATTGTCTAGATCGATGAAATCTGCATGCCTCCCAAAAGAACGTATCATGTATTTTTATACTGACGTCTTTACGGCATCATATGATACACAAATAAGAAAATTTTCTCTACACGGGTCAGGCGTAAGCATAATATTACATATAGTATATTTTTGATGAATATGTTAAGGAAACGTGGGAAATGAATTTTCTTTTGTCCTTGCCCATCGTGAGTGTTCGTTGGTGTAGCGTTTTAATCTTCCCCACAAGAAAAAGTGTTCGTTGTACACGCATGCCTGCTGCTCTTTACTATATGAAGTATAATCAATTTCAATGATAACGTATAGTCATCAATTGTGGGAAATTTCATAGGTGAGTTCGCGTACCATATATTATTTGAATAAAGAGATTGATTTAAATTTGAGGATTTAATTTTTCAGGTACTTAGTTAGTACCAGAGTGTGATAAATATAAAATTACATGAACAAATGGAATACTCGATATTTTATTATTTACGATTACTTTGTACACAGATTAAGATCACATGGTATTTTTTGAGTCCTTAGAGACGTCTACCTTGTTATTTTATTACCGTTGCCCTCTTTGACCCAATTTTTGCACCGTACTTATTGCATGTATTATTTACTTGTCAATGCTGGGCATAACCAAATCATTTTTATTCTCAGTAATCGTTTCTGAAATGTAAACCAAATAAATATAAAAAATTGTTACGTTACTTTAAATATTGATTTCATAAACAATTTGAAATTATCAAACCAAACCGGTGTATAAATAAGAAAATGATCGATCCAAAAAAAGCAGGTGATAAAGAAATGAGTAAAAAGTAAGCTAACAATAATGATTGATTGTAATACTTGTAACACTTCAAAGAATTATTTTGATTTTGCAGTTACAACATTAACGAAAATTGTTTCACGCAATGTTCGCTGAAGCCAAAAAGTTGATGGTGTGCCGGAGTATTGGTGTAAACCAATTTCTTATCTTGAACCATATAAACGCACCACTTTTATATCTTCCAATTGTTATTTTACCCAGCACTGCTATTTTACGTCTATAGGGAATATATTATTGTTTCGTCCTGAATTCGTCGTCACGATTTGATTTGTGTGTGCGAAAGTATTTACCAATCCATCAAGTACGAGCCCTTTGCTGTATTAGATATTAGACATATCTTTATTATTATTATCATTCTCATTATTACTACTATTCTATAACACGGTGCCTGTATACTTGTTCTTATCGAACACAACAGGAGGACTAGTTTGTTGGCCTGTTCCTCGAAGTTTGGAGTAGCATAGGATATTAGAGCGTTAGCCTAGAGCGCACTAGATTTCGTCTATCTTCGCATGACTCGAGTTACTATACATTAACGATTCTATTATACGAACAATCCCTGTTTTACCTTGCTTGCTGGGACACCTGCTTTGCATAACCTGTTTAATATTTCGTTTATTAGCGAAATGGTAAAGGAGAGCGTCACGGTTCCATTCGTTGCAGCTAAGATTTTTTAACACAATTTCACGGATGGATACATTTATTTTGAATACAAATATGGAAAATAACGAACCAACTGTGAAGGCTCTGCGATACTGTGAATGTGTGCACACTCTGCAATTAATATCTTGTATGATTCATGCAAAACTTGAAAGTAATTGCTTGACATTTATACATGCAACCTGTCAGTAGTTTATGGATGTTTTATAAGATGTAAATTTTATATAATTTTGATCCTTCGCTTATTAAAAGATATTCTTATTTGATAGTACTGTTTATATTTTAAACATATCATAACATTAACATCATTAATTAAAATTTTGAATCTTTCCTTAAACTTGAAAGGTATTTTAAAAATTCAGTATTGGAAAACAATAAAAAAGTTCAAGCAGAGTTCGTTCGAACCTTATACAGGAACATCTTATACGCTACCAAGGGTCGTAACAGTTTTCAATTTGCCACAATTCCTGAAGCATTAACGAATCATACAGATCCTGTATGTTAGTGCTCCATTACCTGTTTTATAGTCCACCCGTACGCTTTACTAATCGTCTAAGTTTAAGTATATAGAAGTAATTCATAAGTATTTGTGCTGTTATCGTATTTACGCTTTTAGTTAACGTGGACAGTGTCATTCGTATAGCATACGATTACGGAATCAATCGACACTGTTTACACACGTGACACCACGTTGTTTCGATTTACATTTTACAATATAACATTGAAAAAAAATTTGTTCAAAATATTTCTAGCATACTTGCATAAAATTCGAAAAAGAATGTCACGAAATTTAGTTCACAAGATAATTGTTCTCGAAGATTTATGTTAGAGCACTTGCTTAAACACATATTATTAATAAATGTTTTTATATACGTGAATGTAAGTAATGAAGCTTAGTTTTCCCGCGATTCTGCGTGAAGTATCAAATATTATGCAAAAATTCATCCTAGGTTATGCTTCACGAAGTTGAAGCTGTTGCTGCTGGCGATCGAGATAAAGGGCGAAGGAGGCGGCGACAGTAAGATCTCGATCAATCCACGTGGTGCCAAGATCGTTGCAAATACTCAGGGATTCTTCATTGCTCAATCTGCTGATGAAGTGAAGAGGTGAGAATGATATTTTATTAATAAAATTATTAATAAACATAAATTTTACTAAAAAATAGATTGAAAATGTAGAATAACATTTTTTTTTCTACGGGATATCGTTCTCGAGAAAATTAATTTTGGATATTTATGAGACGCGCACGCGATACAGTAGAGCTTGGCTGGCGTGTCTGACCATTACTGGCTATTTCTACTTAGGCTGGTATCTGGAACTCTTGACGTTTGTATTTTGTTTTCTATCGATCTTACCGTTTTCTAATTAGGTAGAGCTACTTAAAATAGATAACTCTATACCATTATTAATGTTTGCTAACACGATCATAAGTAGAAATGACGATTAGTACAGATATTTTTTAAATTCGACTTTTTACAGAACGAAAAAATTTATTCTACATTTTCCACTTATTTTGATGCAAAGAATAATCCCTTACGTGATTATACCTCCTGATTTTATTTTACTTCATTTATAATTACTTCCCATTATAGATATTAACGTACTTAAAAGGGCTGTAATTTCACTTGAAAGTATTTTATAATATATCTTGCCAGTACTATAATTATGTCACACCAGTTTTTATAAACATCATTCCAAACTATTTGTATATTTAAATTTTCACAATACGTTGTGTGTTTTCAGGGCGTGGTTCTATTGCAAAGCATGCCACGAGGATATTAAAGATGAAACTCTGATCAAGAAATGCAAGTGCAAAAATTGTAAGTTTTTCTAGTCTAGTGACACTCCTTTTTTAACAGTTTCTTTTCTTGGTTCTCGTTGAGTTCTCTGCTATCGAATCTCTTACTAATCGACCTCCAATTTCAACGGAGATACGTACTTTATACAATGACAAATTGAACGATATATCTGCGCGCGTACAGACGGCCAGATATATCGAGATGAGTTGCGAATCACACGTCAGTCGATTATTTTAATCCCTTATATCGAAGATCAATTATGGCTATTTGCATCGTACCCGAAGAATTTGTGTGACTCGCAAACAGTTAACGACTATATTATATATATTATATATATATAGAGATTTACGTGTAAGACCAGGCGAATCACACAGGAAGCCCTTTCTATCCACGATCTCCCGAAACGACCTGTCCACTTTCTTCTCCCCTACGTCTCTATGCTACAAAAAAAAAAAGAAACAAAAATAAAAAAAAGTAATAAAGCCGCAGCAGCATAATACTGCGTCAATTAACGAAGTGACATGGTTATGACTATCCTCTTGTGATATATTGTGATCTAGTGGGGCAGCAGCAGCGCTCCTGGGGCCGGGACTTAGGTAACGTCTCATACTCGTTCGCTAAGCCTTTATTATCGTCTATAACTATTGCCTTTACGTCTCTGTTCTTTCTTTTATATCTTCTTAACCTCCCTTCTGTATTCTCAGTTTAACTCATTGAACTGTATCCATTAAACGTTAACAATCTCTCTCACCCGTTCTCGTTCACCATATTGATTTTTACTCTCTACGTTTTCTGTCTCCAAGTCAACGTCTCTGTCATTTTTCTCACCATCTTTCTTTGATCCCCGCCCTCCCTCGTCTTTCTATCATCTTTTATCTGCCTCTATCTTTGTCTCTTTGCATATCTCTATCTATCTCTATCTCTCTCTATGTCTTACTTATGTGTACATATGCCTCGAGTTTCAACCATTATCTTGCATATATACGCTAAGCCAGTGGTGACGATCATTATGATGATAATAATGGCGATGAGATAATGACACCATTAATCTTCATTGAAAGACACTGTTCAAGGCGATTGCGATGCCACCGACTGGGTATCATTCGTTTTTCACGGTCTCCCAATTGGCAATCGTGCGAGCCAACGCTCTACCAATGCGAACTACCAAGGCTCTGAAAATTGCTGGGATAACAACTCCTAGTGTAAAAATTTGTACAGTTCACATCTATGTGAAAGACTTTCGTCCCGAGCCGACACCGTGTCCGATTCCAATTGATACAGTGTGTCTTTCAAAATTGATCGACGTGAAGAATGAAATACCTTTCGTACATGACACGTGAAATGTAATCCTTTTATAGTTCAGTCAGTTGGCGCATGTCCACCTGGCCAATCAACCAAATTAGCCTGCACTCTAGTGTGTGCTCTTCTCGCTCGTCTTGCATGCATGATTAGAATCCCGATCCGGATACTTTTTATGCCTTAACGGCATGACAGCTTCGTACGAAATATCTCTGTCTGTCTGTCTCTATCTCTCTCTCTTTCTCTCTCTTTCTCTCACTGTCTCCCTTTGCTCTTGTTTCTCTTGCCAAAAGTTCTATGGCTGTTTTAACCATATTTTTTCTCCGTTCGTGTGAGAACTCTCAGCGTGCCAGCTGTTATTGATGAGACCTTCGCCGGCCCATAGGGCTGACTGATTGCAAAACTAGTCGCGCGTCTTCTGCGCTCCACGTTGAAAATTTTGTCGACTTACACGTCGTGTCGTTTATTCACGGTGAAATTGAAACTAACTTTTGTCGCGGAACCACACGATTCTACGATGGTAAGAGTAGCTTTTTCCGAAGACCCACTGCGACGACGATCCCGAAGGCACCGTGACAGACCTTCGTGAGCGAGGACTTGGTTCGGATTGTGTATCTAGATGATAAAAACTGCAAAACCCTACTCGTTGTTTTTTTAACGATTCGTTACACGACATCAACATACACATCCATATGTACACGGTTCACCTGGGCTCATCTATATCAATGTTCTGTACAGAATTCAGTGTCCATCACGAGTGAATTTCTAAACCCTGGGCAATCGAGTTTCTCACGAATCTCGTGTTTCCGTTCGCCAGAATCGACGGGAACTTTTGGTTTCTTCGGACGATTCCGTCGTTTCTTTTCGGCTGCGTGGGGGATGTTCGAAGATGGCTAGGAACACGGTCGAAGGTTGAGAGTTGTACGGGCGATATATGTGCCTTAACTTTTCCAGCATATTTTCCCATTACCTCACAGCAGATTTACGGTTGAGCTGTTACTAACGAATGACGCTTTACTTTGGGATTCGTACGTGCACGTGGCTAAATTATATGCAAATATGATGATTTATGTATTCCTCTGTAAGATAATGCGACTCCGAGATCAAAATTATATATCGTGGTTGTAATTCCATGAAATAATCTACAAACGATCTTACAATTTTTCATACCAAGGCAAATATAAATGAAAATTCATGCATATTACAATTTTAAATGAACGATAATTTTTGGTTAAATGTATATAAATATGTCGATGAATAATCTACTAATCTACCTTTTTATTCAGATCGTAAAATATCATTGTCGAGAATATTATAAATCCTTTGGATACCTATTAACATTTTCTCCTTTAAAGCTTAATCAATGCTTACGACGAGTACTTTTAGTGCAAAGAATTAATTAATGATATTTCTAGCCGAAATTTAAATTTCCTTATAGAATGACATAAATCAAACAGAATTTGTGTGCGCATATAAATTAGATAAAACTGTTGGACAATTACTTGACCGTACGAATCCGTGTGAAACACCCATACACGTGTTTAACTCACCTGTTTACGAGGATCGTTGCGTTAGCCGTGTAAATAAGCCTGCCCCTGTCCCAACCTCCAGTTACATCGGACAGTGTGAGCCTATCTGTTTTATTCACAAACGTGTATCCGGGCCGATCGCTCGATTTTTGCAGATGTGGGGATGATGATGATGCAGACTGGCATGGTGAAGGGAAACACTGCCTACAACAGTTACCTCGACGGTACGCGTCTTTGAACCTTCCTTTCTCTCCTGTTTAATCCCACAACGTTATTATTCCGTCGAATTACGTTTGGAACTTTGTCAGAATAATCGTTGACGAACGGTGGAAAATAACGCGCGGTGGACGGTAGACGATTTCTTGGAAACGATCATTATTCTGACAAATTTTCTCTGTTTGAGTCAAGAAAAATTGGGAGACTAGGTAACAGACATGTTTGTTGCATATTGTTGTATGTGTTTGTATATCGCCAATAACTTAATCGGGGGAAGAACGATTGACTCAAGCAGAGCTCTTCAATTGGTTTGACATTGAAAGAGGTAAGATTGATACAAGTGACGCAAACAAATTGCAAATGAAAGTTCAATATTTAATATTCCACGTTTACATGCACTTACTCCACAGTACCTTTGAACTTTTTGCTCTTTGACATTGTTCGGTTCGTATTGTTCTCGCTGGGCTTTTGCTAGAGCTGACAAATTTGGCGTTCTCTAATTAAAGCAGGAACGTCGAGTTCGAACCGGATCGGAGACTATTTGCAATGATTACGAAGCGGTCTCTCGCGCGTCGTACGGTGAGTCGCGAAAGTACTTGTGTCTCGTAGATTTTTAACTTCAAATGATAAGTATATTAATGGAAAAAAATGTAAGTAAAGTATCGAGATGAGAGAAAGGTATTATTAGGTCAATAATAATTTCAGTAAGGCACGAATAGTAAAATATTAATTACACTTTTAAAAACAAAACGTGTAAAATAACAACAGAAAAACGTTTGGTGAAATAAACTACAAGTTCAGAAAAATGAAGTAAAGCACATTACTGTTTTATAAGTTCTCGAATTAAGCATTTTAGTAACTAATAATATCACGAATGACAAATATTAAAAGTGCAATGAGAAAAAATGATTTTTAAAAATATTAGCAATATTGGTACTAATTTTGTTATGTTGTTTTCAGTCCAATACACTGAAACATTCAATTATGACATCTATAAAATTAGTGACATTTGAAAAGTCACACAATAAATTATCTTTTCCTCATCTTATGCAAACAAATGCTTTCTTCACATTTTTATTCATAACTCACGAATTATTTGAAATGGAAAGTTGGCGAGACACAAATACTACTGTCACCGGTTGCAAATGTACAGCGTGTAAAATATTATTTGTTACGACTTCCATTGACAAATTTACATTCTTGACTTGGTGGGAATTTGACGAAAGACCATGCAGCTAACACGCATCATTCATCAACTCTACACGAGGATGAGAAGTTCCAAGGGAATTCTGTGTCGCAAACAAACTGCTTTTTCACAAAAAAACTTTTGGAGCCAATTAGATTGCGTAGAGTTGCTTTTATAAACGAAGCGCCCCCCTCCCCAAATCTCTCTTTTATTACACTATAGTCGGGAGAAAATAAGCTGTCTGCTCATGGTCACCCATAGCTCAACTTCACCCCATCATTTGACAAGATTGCTATTCTGTTGCTCAAAATGTGGACTTAGATTGTTTGCACGAAAAAAGTGCCAAAGCTGAATGCTGTATTTATTAACTGTTGTGTTTATTTCAAGACATATAGCTGAAACTCGTATCTCAGAATGTGTCTCGCGTCTCTTCTATGCTTTAATGGATATGTGCTTCTGTCTGTGTGTCGAATATTCCATCTTACGTGCGAAATTATCTTCAAGTCGTGTCTTATTTCACCATTTGGTTTATCATTTGTTCGCGTAGAAAGTCACAGTGAAGAGGTGATGGCTTGGTCACGTTGAGGTTAGATATTCTGGGTGGTTCGATTCGGTGCGCAGTAGATCTGCGCATGACGTCACTGTCATTTAAAGATGGACAATATTTTATTCGAAGAAAATTCAATTCTTAACAATTCAATTTTTACTTGTTCATTGTGAAATATTTTAAGTAGTAACTGGTTAAACATTATTTACATTTTATTCGTCATTCGACGTACTTATCTAACAATAAGCAACAACATTGGCCATCTCTGCTATCATTGGGTCCACATTTAAGCGCTGTTTTTTTCAGAAGCAACTCTGTGAAATCTCTTGGCCAAAAACTTTTTTAATTTAAGATGAAAAGATAGTTCATTTACGACGTTCGATTCCTTTTAAACTTTCCATCCTTTTAAAAATTCTCTTTGTTTACCAAACCCATTCATCTTCTTCCAAAAAAACTGTCATTCTTTCGTCCAGAATAGGTGGAAGAGAAAAATTTGATCTTGAATTATCGATGGTCGAGGTAAATATCGCAGCAGGTATTTTAAGGAAATCTCCACCGATTCAAGTGAGTAGATTGACATACGAGAAACGTGACAAACATACTTTGCACACCCCGTACAGAGTTTTTGCGTATGATACGCATCTTGGCTTCAGTTCTCACGTGAAATCGTTGTTTCTGCAGATACGCATTTACGCTAAGCACGTTCTATCGAATCGTATATTCTGTGTCTACACGTTCATGGCTGTTACGTTTCACTAATTAACAAGAGTTGCTCGTTTCAGGCTTGGCAATTATTAACCGTTGTTTCAATGTGCTCACGCCGAAGCATCGTTAAGTACTTTCCCTCACGTTTATGGTTAGAAAGTATTCGTTTCTTCTACTAAGCGATTTTGTCAATTATGAAAATGATGTTGAACGAATTGTTTGGATGTTTTTCAATTTGCAAAAACGTGTTCATTTTTTGGTAGGTTGGTTTAGAACCATGAATCCTTATATAATTACCCGCAGTAATTGCTCCCAAAATATTTCTTCGTAAGATTTTTACAGGCTGACTTGATCTGAGCAGTTTTGCACTATGGATACGATGTGAAAGTTATGTGTTATTACTGGAAATGCTTGGTACGTGTCACGAAACTCATTTTTAGAGTTGTGATAAGTAAAAGTAAATAAATTTACAAAACTTTCACGTGAATAATTTCCATTAGCTCTGACTACGGTAAACTATTAATTTCCTCGGTTAATGGAACCTAGTTTAAGTTATTGAATAATACGTTGAATGAAATAATATAGCAATTTCATATACGATTTTCATTTTCATGAGTGCATAAGTTCTACCAACGTTTTCTCGTAAAATTAAAATGCTATCAGATTCGTGAATGCTTTTTATTATTGATTACCTTTTGCATGTACCCATGAGTCATCAAATTATCGTTATTTTTTCTAAGGGGTTAAATGTTTTCAATAATTTCTGTTCAAATACAGAAATTTGATTTCCAACTAAAATGACATAAAATGAGTAGAACTTGTGCGCTCATTTATTATGTGGATAAATTACGTAAAATTGAAAGAAATGTTCAGGCGAGGAAGGATCGATCGAGTTTTCATTCTAAACAGGAAAAAACTGAACTTACTATGCGTCTCTTGTCACTAACACCCTTAGGATTTGATCTGACTCCCGCTTTTGTATTTTAACTTGCGAAGCGTTTTTAACAACTATAAATAGACTTACAGCGATCTTCGAAGGTTTCGTTTTCGATACCCCGTGTCCCCCGAAATTACGAAGAAGAGAGATCAATGGATGTACGTGTGAAGCAAAAGTTCCGAAAGCGTTTGCAGCTTTCGAGGCGTCGAATTTTTTTTTTTTTTTTTAATACCGTTTCAAAAGCGGCAGCGCCTCCGGTATATAAACACCTTAAGTTCTAAGTTTACATGGACGATGGTGATCAATGCCCAGGGTTTATCGAACATAACGGCTCAAAATACTCCATTCTCCCTTCACACGTTACGCACATTTAACATCATATTCACTAATGTCACCGACAATAACGTTAGCACTGTAATTATTATTAATTTGTAAGAGAAAAGCGATATCCCAACCCCTCCCCCAATAGGAGTTCTAGTGACCACTGCACACGAGGTGGACAGTGTAACCCTATATGTGTGTTTCAACCCTCTCACGATAGACCAGAGTCATTTAACCAATAATCAGCAGTTTATTGACAAACTTCTCCGTCGATTGTCACGTTGCAGTGAACCTTCTAAATTCGCATAAAAATTCTAACACCATTCCTGAATGTTGCTTGAGCTTTTGTATAATTCGTAAAAATCGATGGATGAGACGTGGACACATGTTCGATCGTTTAATTCCAGTCGCGTGTCAGGTATTAAAAATTTAGTACAAAATTCACTGCTATAGAACGACTGCAATACGTGACCCGTCGATCGAGACTGGATCTACACATAGACCCTCTCCACCTGTTGCCACCTCCTGCATCTAGGTTGACATTATTTTGGTATGACAACTAACAGCTCTGGTTCTCCTCCCTTCGGGCAGTGGCCACATTCCGGAAAGGCGTGCGAGCTGTTCAAATGGTTGGAAGAGCAAGTATGTATCCCCCGCGTGTAGATTCTATTCCACATATTGTTTCCTTATCTCATACTTATGATTTCAACATCCCAGAATCGTATGGCTAGTCGAGAACCGAATAAGCAGATCATCGATTCTATCAGACCTTCAATTCGATGTTCCTTCGAAGTCGATCGTCTTTATTTTTTAAATACTTTGGAAAATTTACGTTCCATAGATTTAATGGTTGTGTAATCGCTAGAGATAATTATCAATTTTATGCCAAGTATCGTTTAACGATGGTCGCACGTTCGACTTGAAGGTCACGCATATTAGAGTTCTCCCATCATCGTTCATTTGACACACATTAATTATTTACGTTTTAGCGTGCAAAAATGTACGAATTGGAATCATTACCTCGCGTAATTGTTTGCTTCAACCGGCCATAACGATGTGAAAAAATTTCGTAATGAAATTTGTAACAGTCGCTTAATGATTTATTCGTATATGTTTGGATTAGAAGATGAAGAGTAAACTTGTTAAGGCCTAATTGAATGAAATTCAGTTCAACATGACATGTAACGAAAGACGAATCGGTGAACTTCTAATCATTGATGTAAGATCCATTGATAACGCTCTTATCGACGTTGTTTCATCGGTCTTTTATAGTAAAAGATTATGATTAGAAATTGTGTATTTTGTTGCATGTAAACAATGTGCATAATAGAAACGTATATTATTTTTAGAAATATAACGTATAAAAAAAACGCGTATAAAAAATATAACGTCAGTATCATTTTTGAACTTTATACAAAGCATTTATTTATAAACTATTATTAAAGAGTGACAAATATCATACGGTATAATTTTAAACTTCAGTTTGAAAAAAAATTGGACGATGTAACAGCGTTGATAAAGAAATTGTCAGTGAAACGTTCGTGGATGGTCAGAAGTACACCCAAACCGAATAGATTCGTATTCAAATACTTTAATGAGAATAGCACAATGTTTAACTAACAATTTTTCCAGTTATTTATTTAACATAAGTATTTTCTCGATTTTTCGTACTGAAGATTAGAACACATAGATATAATTGTTGTGCTAGTTCAGTGTAACTTCGTCCGAACTAATAACAATTGATTTCAGAGTAGAAATATACTATTAGTGTTTTGAAATTCCTTTTGATGTGATGTTTTCCATTTATTATTTTGCAATTGAAACTACATATATATATATATTTCTATCAATGTCGTCTTGAATGTAGTTTTCTGGAGGTTTGTGTCTTTTCGATGGTTTATTGCTGTGAGTGAATTATTAAGACTTCATCGACTTAAACTCACGCGATGTGATTGCCTTGAGTCTTGAACTACTTTTAACTATAATCTTGCATCGATGTTCGATTTCTGATCATTCGATGTTTTTCTTTTTTAGAGTATCTTAGAGCTAGTTCTTGATTGAGTTGATTATTTTTTTCAAATACGTATCGTGTCAGAATCAACAATAATCTATCGGTGATAGTTACTATATGACAATTTCGATACTTGCATCGATTCCTCAAATTTTTTCAACATCATTGCAAATGTGTGGACAATCATACATGTTACACTACGTGTGCACTGTTCGTGTGCTTTGCGTTGATGCAGAATACTTTTTGGAGAACAGACGTTTCTTACTTACATTTGTATAAATTGTTATGATACATTCTTTTTTAAACTTTCATTTTTAATTTCAACATCGAGTAGAAATTTGTTCGTTGAAGAAACTGATTTTCAATGTCTAGTAGTTGAGAAACTAATTCATTTCTAAACCCGAAGAACATGACTTAAGAATTACTTCTAAATTAATTTTATTACGTATTTGTTAACAAATTTAATCAGAAAGACATACAGAACTTAAAGAATGCCGATTTTTCGAAATATTGCTTTCAGTATCACCTTTTTTATATCCAATCATTTTACTATAGTATGAAGAGAAATATCGTTTAATACGTACTCAACAGTAACATCCAATATTGTATGCTACCAAAATTAACGGAGCACTCTCCAACAAGTATTCTGCAGTTCCTAGATCGTTCCAAACGTAGTGTCATTAATGATGTAACGCACGTAATTGTTATCACTTGTTACATGGAGAGCAAATAAGTCTGTGCAACGAGACTTTAATGTTCACTTAAATGTGTAGAGAGTCAGTAATGTCAGCAATGTGCACACAAGCATAAGTAAAAGAATAAAAAGAAAGACAAAGAATCAACAGTTTCACTCGCATCGCTCATCAGAGCCTTCACACAGTTATTTTCTCATCTCTAACTCACCTGTGATCCACGCGTGTATATATCTCTCTGTGTATATCGCCATAAACAGGCATCTGTGACACACACGCATACCTAGCCTCGGCCAATACATCACATAAACACACCTGCACGCACACAGACACACGCATATGAACACAAACATAAACATTCACACAGTCTATGTACACCTAAAGTCAAGAAAGAAACCCTTTAACTAACTTTCTATGTGTCTATCTGTTCGAACTTTCTTCTCTTCGTCCTCTACTACCACGTAGGTGAAGACTTCTCGTATGCAAGTAAGTCTACCACGGAGCGGGTGTATAATAATAATTGCATACATGTAATATATATTATACGTCGAACGGTATAATATATAATACATTACATTGCCGCTAGATTCGTGATAATAAGAAGACGCATATTATAATAAATAGATCACAAGAAGTAGGCTATACGTAGCCAATCATCAATTACAGAGCAACGCTGTATTGTTTTGATCGATACCGCTGGAAGAAGAGTTCCACCTATTGCACATCTGTTTTTTTACTTTATTCTTCCTACTTTTTCTGCTGGAATAACGCTAATTTTATGAGGGACAATCCTTGGCCTCGGCATTCGAAAAATTCACGAATACGCTCGATGGTATGCAAGGGACGTCGTGATGAGTAATATGTATGGCCTGTTCCAATTTTGCCTGAGGTGATGAGAACCATTGTTTGAAATTTGTACTCTTTGTTTTTATTAAAAATTATATTAAATGAATATATAAATTTTAATGAAAAAGTTTCTAAAGAGCACAAAGAATACGTGTTTAGAAAGACAAAATTGACCATGTCTTAGAATTAATTTTTCTTCATTATACATATACTACTGTGATATAGACTAATTCATTTTCAATGTTTTAGAATTAACATAAAATACATAAATGGGAAGTATTACAACTTGTAATGAGAATACTAATAATTTATAAATATTCCAATCACCAGACATTGGTTTCAGCTCCTCAGAATAAATTTGCCCAACAATTACCATATTACTTTTCAAGACGTTCACTATCATATATTCCAGAGATTTCACACATTTTTTGAATATCTGGTTTTGGTATTTTCCCTTATTAATATGCTGACAGTGTATTATATACTCTTGCATGTCCTACGATATTAAGCGTCGTAGAATCCAATGTGAAAATCAATCAGGCATTAGAAATCTAACTATGCAGAATGAGACACTTTAAACCACTTGAATATATCTTTTATTCTTATAATAGAAAGAAATTTTAAGAGGAGCAACTGCTTAGTGTTGAGTTGAATATCACTTCATTTTATCATTTTCATTCTAATTTCAAGACAGAATTTAAACACCTCAATCGAAATATTTTCAATTATTTATAATTGTTAGATTTTTACAATTATAAAGGTATATGAAAAATAAAAAAATGATAATTTTCATTAGTGATCAGATTCTTGAAACGAAAACACTATGATTTGTTATTGAAGTAAATCATTTTTATTCGTAACTCGTTTTCAGGGAGCTAGAACAAATAATATACATATGTAATATTTAAAAGAGAATTCGACCCTCAAATATCTCTGACAGTCAGAGGTAGACAACATTTAATCGATGAATGAAAACAACATACAACATTCTATTATCTACAAAAGTATGTCGCCCATGTCTGGCGCAGGTCCAACTCGAGACCAAGCAACTTCTGCTCACGACATGTTCTTTCATCGCAAGAATAAAAGAGTTGTTCAGGTGTCTTGTTCTAAGTATCTCAGTCTGTCTAGGCTGTCAATCTGTACAAATGTGCAAAGTGGCCTTTCGCAGGCGCTACGTTACATCTAGCCTTATGCTACGAGCCTAACCGAGGCCAAACAAAAAAAGAAAACAGAAATAATAAAAGAGCGTAGTCAAAAGGCAGTGAGCCGCGTTCGCAAATACAATTTTGCAAGCGACGAGTTTCACACCGGTCCTTTGCTAATGGAAGGATTAACCTTTAGTTTAACTCTGCTTTGACACGGTAGAATTCTACGATTTATCGAGCACTCTTTCGAATCCTCCAGTATGTCGCACAAAAGTTTTATACCGATTAAAACGTGCACTGGCAATGTCGAGTAAAATATCCACATCGTAAGAAGTTATCACTGCATGCCTTTCAATACTATTAAAATAGCATTTTTACAGAGACAAAGATAATGCTGACAATATTCGAACGTTCTTTATTTACAATCGCCATCTTGGTTTCACTCAAGGCATCATCTTTATTCGGAGATTGGGCGAAATTCGATTGGATGACTATCGAAGCTTCGAATATTTATTATATTCAGTTTTCCAATTTAAAAGTATTTTCGTTATTCATTCATCCAGAGAAGAATTTCGCTCGGCTCCACTTTTGTTTGGCTTGACGTTTCCAGAAACTCTGGCGATCATCGTTCTTTGGCTCTGTGAATTTTAGCATGGATCAAGTAGTGCCTGCGTACAGCGCTTAAGATGGTATAATGGACATGTATACTTTAGCATTACGTTAGTACAACGTTTGTACAACGCGGAGGAGGTTCACGATTTGACAGAGTGCATACTTTTAGCGTAACGCTGTCTCCTCTTTCTAATTCCTCGCTCGTCCGCGTTGCCACGAGCAGCATTTGGAACGGTAGATTTCAAAGTTATACATGTATGAATTATGCAGTAACAATTAGATAGTTTAACTAGTACTAAGGTCCGTTGCAGCGTGAAATTTCTATTTAGAATAACTCAAATCTCCCAAGTAATCAGTTCTCCATAGATCAACCTTTTAAAATATTTAAAACAACTTTGTCTCCCAGCAAAAATTTATCAAGTTTATCTTACTATGGAAGTATTAACTCATTTTGGAGAATGTAACATAAGTATTTGTTTGATTGAAGAGATTTGGTGTCCTATAAGTGATCGAGAAATCAAGATCTGGACATTTTTATTATTAATTAAAATTTGTTTAATCTTCGACGCTGGAACGAAGCTTGAATTTAGTCAGTGATAGAGATAGAGTAGCAATTAGGCCTTAGATTATTAGTTAGGGTAGCTAACATGTGTAGTGGTTTGTTACAGACGACCACCATCCTCCCCCTACATTCACTCCGCCAGAACTGCCCAAGATGGTTCACGTAAGAGGTACAGGTACACCTCAATAAAAACCATGCTACAATCTCGCAAGCTGATCTTCCTTATTTCGATAAATCACATGATACTATATATACTGGTACACCGCGATCAATCGCTTTCAAAGAATCTCACGAACGAAAGAATTCCAAAAGCTACTTCACGAAAAGTATTGCGCTCATGATCTCTAACTATTCACGCTGTCGGTTTCCGATCTTTTCTTTTTTGGTTCTGTATCATCACTAGACTGCGGATGTTCATACAAATCGAGGATTTTTAGGAATTGACGTTGCCAAAACGAGACGTGGAATTTTTTAAATATTTTTTGAGGATTCTAATCGTGTGTTTTTATATTCGGACGTGTTGAAATATATTTTTGGAATTTTTTTTATGCATTTTGTACGTTGCATATTTTATTTAAGCGAAATGTGATCAATTATATTAAATGTATCTCAAGATTGTAACGAAGTAGACTACGCAGAATACATTCAATTTATATTTTCAAATTTTGCGTACATTTTTCAAAATTTACATGTACTATAAATGTATAAACATCCGCAATAGAATCACGATTACGTTTCACTGGCCAATTCCGATATTTCTTAGTGTTTTGACATGAGGAACTTTGTTCAAAATTAAACAGTACTGGATTTCAACAATATTAAAAAAAAATGTTAAGTTAGAAATGTTATTTCAAATTTAGAATAATCACAATCGTCATTGAAGTTATTCAATGATTGGTTTTTACGTAAAACATTAAATTATTATTTTACTTATTTTCTAAACCGAATATTTTCTGTCCAGTATTTAAAATAATACAAATTAAATATTTGAATAAACATTAATTTCAATTTCGAATATTACTTAGTACTCTACTTAAAATATCTAGTACTGTTTCCTATTTGATATATCGGAAGACGCTTACTCTGTTCTTTTAACGATTTTGGAGAAAGTAGAAAGAACCCAGAAATAAAATTAAAATTATAAATGTCATCTGCTACTTTCTCCTGTTTTGATAAGTGGGTGTAGCTATCGTAGATACATTATATGTAGTACATTGAGTTAATTTGTCTAATTAGTTGATTTCATTTCTTTGTAGTTTCCACATTAATTTCTACCACAAATCACAGAGACTAATTTATGATTTTATAGAATCATTAGACGACGCACCCTCATTAGTCGTTACTTATTTTCATTCTCTTCTTTAGTTTTTTGTTTAACGTAGAATTCATTAGAATCTATCAATCACATAGCGCGTAGAGTACTATAGTATCATTAAAGTTCGTAGCTTTTATATTACATTTAGCGTCACGTATGTTTTGTTGTAGAATTCATTTCATTAGAGTTATAGTTTCGGGAAAACAGCAGTTTGCAATGAATAAGTCACAGTAATTAATCGATCGAATATAATTCAAAATAATTGGTTTAGATTTTCATTCGAAATGACTTGGAGAACAATATTTACCAATTGCTGTTAAAATTGATCCTCGTAATTGGTAATACTGTTGCTGGGAAAGAAGTTTCAATAAATTCAGATGTTTTATTATCTATACGTGATGATTGAGTCTTTCCATGTAATTCGATACATGAAAATAAAATTGTGGTGTTCGTCTGCGTAAGTAGTATAGCAGAACATCAGCGTTTCTCACTCTTTAGCATTATTACACAATCAAATTTTGTACGACAAAGAATAGTTAAATATTTTATTAGTATAACAATATTATATAGCAATTTAATATTTGTCTGGATGATATCTTAATCGTGTCGATGTACTTTTTTTCTATTTCTTTTCTGAATCTGATTCGGAGATGATTGTAAATTTCATGGATAGTTTGAGAAATGCTGTTCGAATTCAAATGTTTTGAACGATTCAGTATTTTCTGTCTATTTTCTATGTCTGAAGTACATATATACATTTGGCTTAGGATGTTTAGAGTATCCGTTTCAGTATTTTCTTCTTTGATATGTGTCACTTGTATCTGTTCCAAATGTATTAACAGTTTGCCTTTACTTACACATTTATGTCATTCTATTAACGATTGCGAAACGGTTAATTGATAGTTGTAGAGAGCACGGTAGATTGGTCTCATTTGTTATGAAAATTTCTTTCCATGGTAACGTTTAGACAGGTCATAATTCCATACTCTATTTCATTTTCTTCAATTTATTACGTATAGGTGGTGGTCCATCTGATTACCGTGACGAGCGCCTAATCGCTTTTTTATTGTCCTTCGCAGACACTTTGCACCCGTCGTAATGGCTAGAAATTGCTTGCGGTCGCGAACACTGCTCGACTCTCATCGTTACATCAAATCTATTCCTCTGATGTTCATTGTCCAAAATTATTTTTTGCATAGCTTGGAAGTGTTCTCGCAAATTAAATTCATCCATGCTTGCTCAATCTTGGAATATTTCGTTGGTACGACCGATAAGAAAATATTTACTTGACGTTATCGAACCACACGTATTTTGGTTTAATTGGTACATTATTTATACTGCTCCATTTAAATCACCTTGGAACGATTGCCACGCCGAATATCGGTTGCATTCACGGTGAGCTATTTAAAAGATTATAGTCTTGGAAATCTTCTCAATGCTTGTTCTAATAGGAGAAGTTCCTCTCTCGCTTTATTGGGTGAAATAAATACGGATTAGTGAGATAAAAAATCTTTTACTGACGAAGGTCGTGATTACATTAGAATATTTTGCTTGTAGTTTAAGATGAAATTAGAATATCTTTGAATCACTCGATGACTAGCATTTGATGTATTTTTGAAAACCGTATCGTTCGCGAATCGTCAGCAATTCTAGTCGTTGAAGAATGACGAGGTGGCACGTGCAAAGGATAAGTATGCGTGCCTGCAAGCATGGGATATGTAGGCTCTTGCTGATAAATAAAAAGTATAATGCGCTATAATTGGGGGGTTGTTAGGTCACGATCAGTGTGACACTCTGTAATTGTCTTAACCATTGTTGCTTTGTCTATTAGCTACGCTGGACGCGAAATCTAGATACGAATTAATGCTGATGTATTAATTGTAGGTGAGGTCAGTCGCGAACGAGACGACCCGAACGGTGAGTTTCGAATGAACCTAATGCTCGTTTCTTTTCTTGTGTTGCCCCCATGAAAGTTGCCCACCTCCCTCTCATCGATCCCTTTTAACGTCGCAGCACAGGACCAAGAATATATTCCGCACTGTTTTGATCGCAAACACTTTCTGACTGAAAAAAAAGATGACGATACGAATGTGCATTGTTACGAATCGCCACGGTCTAAACGGATTTATATCGTTTCCTATATTTATTTACTTTTATGTACGTGTACATCCAACGTTTATCTTCTCCAAATAGAACTGTACACTAACTGACAATGGATAAACTGTACACTGGAGTCATTTGTTTCTGAACTTGTTACCTGATGTATTCAGAGGCCGTTCAGAAGTCTGAGAGAGTTTTCCCACTCGTAGTTTCGAAAGTAGTCATAGTTGATCTAGAAATTGAAAGCCGTGAGCCACGACTAGTCTTCACTGCACTAAGAATTAGAAGAGAAAGGGAACTTAACTTAGAGCAGTGTACAGTTTTAAAGTTAACCATCGATTTAATCTCGCCGACGAATATGTTACTTTTGTACATATGCATCTAACTGACGTTTCTTTTTGTTTTGAAGATATCGAAAAATGTTCTAAGCACAATTTCAAGTATTTCAAGTGTGGAAATGTGTTGCACAGGAATTTTTGTCCGAAGTTTGTGTTTGTCATTCGAGGTTCTTGTAGTTTCTTTAAATAGAAATTTGTACATTTCTGATGGTAAATGAAAAATTTATTTATTACATTCAAAAATTGTTTTATTTAATAAAAATTACAACGATCTTGAATATTTATTAATTGATGAACTTTCGACGACAATTTTTGAGCGACACGTTTATTTCTTAACACAATTGAAATGATCTAGAATGAATTTGTCATATCTGCAAAATTGAAAGGGTTATCCTGTCTCTAATTGACCAATCTGTGTACTAATACGAAGATGTTCTTTCTTGTTTTCCAGCCATGAGAAATCATCGTAATTCCGTTGGGATGACCATGATGAATTCGACGAAGCAGGTAAATAAGGTGAAACCGAACGTGAATCGAACGACGAACGACAGTTTATCAAGTCCGAATCAACCGTACAATCAAAGGTATTTAATTCCAAGTCTGATTACCTATCTGATAGATTCTCTCTTTGATATACAAATTTTTGTTATTGTTGCAAGACGTGCTACTGAACGAAAAGTTGGTGTTGCTAGTGTTTCATTGTGTTTGGATTTCACCGTAGAAGTTCTGAATAAATACTGACCTCTTCGTCTGTCCAATCTAGATGAAACATGCAATTCTTGCACCTAATTTCATGCACAATCTGTTTTTATCTATTTATTGAAGTACATCTTCACCCAGTACAATGATATCGTTTATGGAGCGCATACGTCTATGAACTACTTTGATTTCTATCTTCCATTATCAGCAGTTATTCTAAAAATTTGTCGTGAAGTAATTTTCGAAGCTATTAAAAAATACTATGAGATTTAGAATGTATTATTGAACAATTAACAGTATTTTCATCCCCACAAATAATTATGGAAGCCTATTTTTTATTTGTAAATTCTAAGATTAAGGAAAACAGTTTTCACAGCAAGGATTATTTATCAGGATTACTAAATTGCAATCATAGTCATTAAGCTAAAGGTACAACAGACTCATTATCAACACACCAGTGAATGGTTATTGCCAAATATCTCATCAATTTGTTTTAAAAATATTATGAGAACTATCATTATTCAAGCAGAAATATCGTAATCATCGTGAATATGTTCAAGACCATTTTGTCGCGAATCAATGGAAGATTTGTTCTATGCAAATACGAATCCAACGTTGCAAAATCCTTCTGATTCCAGATCGCAAGAGGAGTCTCCGTACCCTGGCTACCATCTCGCCTACGAAGTGAAAAAACTTATGTACGCTTTTTTTCGTTAACACTCTCGTATGTTGTGCCATAGTCGTTGTGATTCTATCTAGTTGTGCACTACTTACACGCGAGCGCTTGCTAGAGAATCGCATGGGAATGTACATTTTTGCAGGTCGTCGAGGTTTATCGATTTCAATTTTAATGAAGGGTAACATTAAGTAGCAATCATTATTGTGACATAAATAGTTATAACGTTGACAATTTTGAAATTTTTTAAATATTACGTGGTAGAAATATTTTAAAGGCTCTAAGCAACGAGAATAATAACATACAAACAAAATATACATGTCGAATTAAGTAACCACCTCCTTTTCGAAGTCGGTTAAAAAGAATCTAGTTTTTGTCCTATAAAGAATACCTGAATGATAGGTTCTTGAACTTGCAACTTGAAAGAACATTCGTCAATTCAAAGATACAAATTTTCTAATTTTAAGACATCGAGTGTCCTCTTCGTGTTATCAGAAGCGCAACTAGTAATCTTCTTGAAACATTCAGCTTTCCAATGATCCCACAAAAGAGATCTAAAGGGTGTTGGATCGAGTGATCTCGATTTGAAACTCGATACGACTACCTCATCCGATGCAACCGGTAGAAAACGTATCATTTAATGCGGTTCGAGCTGCAGGATGATAATTACCAGTAGCATCGAGACGTTCGAATCACATTACTTGCCTGATAGTGACGAAGCTCGTTTCGAGTGAAGTTCTTGTACCTACAGGGGGTGGAAACAATAATGTGGGCATTGTTACCGATCACACTGATCGATCAAGATACCTTTTCTGTAGATTTTCATGTTCTGTGTCATGTTTAGAAGATGAGTATCAGTGGAGCTGACCGTTAGCTGAGGATATTAATTCAAAAAGATTATTTTTCATTTATGTATAAGGGTTTTCTAAAAAGCACTTTGGCATTTTGATTATTAATGAAACAGAAATTAAATGTATCCAATTTTTGTTATTTTAAATGAAAGTACGCACCAGTTTTAATATTAATTAAAATATTCTAAAGTTCCTTTTGGAAGACCCTGGACTCCAATGTGTTTGGAGTTGGTTATTAACATCTTTGACGCCATGTTTTGATGCCCTTTTCAGGCCAACAAGCAGAGCTTCTGGCGGTACGAACGTAAACAATAACGGTGGTCTTCAAGTCGGAATCGCCGACGACCAGGCGAAAGACTTTGATTTCGAGAAGACCGAAATGAAGTACGATTCGACGGGCATGTTCCATTGGAGTCCATCCCGCAACCTCGAAGACTGCATACTGGATCGCAATCAGGCAGCCATGACGGTTCTGAATGGACACGTCGTCGTCTGCCTGTTCGCCGATCCCGACTCGCCCCTCATCGGACTGAGAAACCTCGTCATGCCATTACGAGCTTCCAATTTCCATTACCACGAGCTTAAACATGTAGTGATAGTTGGGTCTGTGGACTACATCCGCCGCGAGTGGAAAATGTTGCAGAATCTACCAAAGATATCGGTGCTAAACGTAAAGAACATTTCCTGGCCATTTAAACAACCCTACCGTCATTGAAATTTACATCGAGGCTTTACGATACTTCATTACGTCTCCTTCGGTTTATACACATTCGGCAACTTAACGCGGTACCACCAGTACATGTCAAGGTCGAACTAACCTTGGTAGTTTTAGTGTTAATTTGATCGCCGAAAGTTACGTTTCCCTTTAGAATATCTTTTATACTATCGTCAGTCTGTTAAGAAAATGAAATCACAATATGTTCGTATAGATAGAACAGAGCTACATTGTTCAAGTAAAATTGTTAATGTTCGCAGGGTTCACCACTAAGCAGAGCAGATTTGCGTGCCGTTAACGTCAATCTGTGCGACATGTGTTGCATCCTGTCGGCTAAAGTGCCTAGCAATGATGACCCCACCCTCGCCGACAAGGAGGCCATCCTCGCGTCCCTTAATATCAAGGCTATGACCTTCGACGACACGATTGGAGTGCTCAGCCAAGGTACACATAACACTCGCCAGACTATGTTCTGACACACCTTTCCATCATTTTTTACTAACTTAAATAAGTCTATACGATCGCTCGTCTTTCGGAAGTATATCATTTCACACGCCATCGAACAAATTCATCCTATCGATTCCACAGAAATAAAATTGATCGCGCCACATTTTATTTTAATTTGTTATATACACACAATGAAATCTTAAGTGGCAATTCCAGCGAATAATGAGCAAGGTAATTTGACCGCAGTTGGCAGCCCGATCGTTTTACAGCGACGAGGATCCGTTTATGGAGCGAACGTGCCAATGATAACAGGTATCGTAACTCAATCGAATCGTTTGCCTGTATGGAAGTTTGACGTGACTAATTCCTGTTTCCTTCTCAGAACTCGTAAACGATAGCAACGTGCAGTTCCTTGACCAGGACGACGACGACGATCCGGACACGGAACTCTACCTCACCCAACCCTTCGCTTGCGGTACTGCCTTTGCCGTCAGCGTATTAGATTCGTTAATGTCGACGGTTAGTGGTGTTAAAAAATCGATATATATATATATATATTACATAGACGATACATAATATACTCTATCAAATACTAAGCAAAACGATTCCACAGAACTCGCGACAATTTTTAATAATGTAGGAACACATTGGTGAATGGACAGGTAAATATGAAGGTAGACGAACACTCTGCTATAAAGACAGTAGTATACTTGCAGCTGAAATTAATTATACTGCACGACAATATTGTTTAGCAATGCTACGGTTAATTTTTATGACTGTCCGAGTGCGATGACAATTCAAACGTCTCGACGTGACTCGCAACGGGTAATTGAATGACTAACGTTGAAGTACGATACTGCGACCTTCTCAGCCTATTAGGATACGTCTACACTTGAACTGAACGGGGAGGTGAACCATCTGAAACCATTTTAACGTTTACTAGTGTTATTCTGCTAACCACGTATAACCCCACATGACTACGAAGTCGTCCCATTCTTTACATTTTTTGGAGTCTGATATAAACCTCTTATTAGTGTGATAAATTGTGATTTCGAAGTAATTGTATGACCTACAAACAACCTATTTATTATTTGTGGTTTTAAAACGATGATATGACACATAAACAATCTGTTTGAAACAATTATTTGATGTGTGATTACTTGTTTTAACAATTTTTTTTCTGATTATTCTTATAAAATTGTCACATTTACTGTATCCATATCGATATTTCCCATTCTAAACGAATGCTCTACACTCCTAACGATTACGCGGAAAAATCATATCAATCTTCGTTACATAAACTAAAGAGTATCGTAACTGAAAAACAGAACAAGATTTTGTTAATACATGAAATTTTACTATATTAAAGACTCATACATTTAGAGCATGTGATAACTTGAAAACTACATATCAATCGTGTATAATTAAAAATAAACTAGGGTGTACTGTACTTGATTCTTTTGGGAGCTACCAGCTTGCTTGTTTTGATATCTTCCAACTGTAATGGCAAAGGGTGATGTGGAAGCCGATGGGAGAGGCAGACGTGCATCACTACACTCACTCATGCTAAATCGGTGTACGTGCCAGTCTTTTAACGTGACAGACAGAAACCGACATCTGTCATCTGTGGTTCCGTCATTTTAACTGCTGCGAGTCCATCAGTGTGATATTACAGCCGAAACCTTAGAACGTCTAGTCCAAAACAGTGTCACGCGACTAATTGTCAGCCATAGCGTGACTGGAAGCCCGTTTCTAATCGTGGCGAACTATGTTTCAAGTGTGTTGAAACAAAAGCAGTTATCTCGTAATAAATAGGTGTACTTACTTTTTACCTGTACAAGAAGTTTTCCGAGGGTTAGCTCCAATTTTTATGCCAACAACATAGTTTAGGAAAAGGTGCTTTGTGCGTTTGGCATCATAACACAATTTAGGGAGAGAAACGCTCGATACTCAATAATAAATTGCTTCTAAAGTATTAATTTAAAAATAATAATTATGAATCACTGCAGTAGATGGTTCGTCTCAGCGTGGCCCTGAAGTGTAGACAAATTTTTACTTATACACAACACATTTATGCCAAGCATTTCCAAGCTCCCATGCTGCTCTTCGGCACAGTCATAAACACTCATTCGTACCCAATGCATTCAAAAGTCCATTTACCCAAATACAATAACATTTATTTTTTCTAGACGACACTATAACACCTTCCACACTTTGCAGACCTTACAACGATACATATTACTCCACGATTAAATATTATTAGTATCCGTATTAATTTTGCGTGTGTGGGTTATTTGTCAATTGCAGACATATTTTAACCAAAATGCGCTGACTTTGATCCGGTCGTTAATCACCGGTGGAGCAACGCCTGAGTTAGAATTAATCCTGGCTGAAGGGGCAGGTTTAAGAGGTGGTTACAGGTAAGTTGTAGCTGGCATCTTTTATCTCGTCATAACCCGTGTATATATATATGAATAATTTAATATAACTCCAACCGAAGTTTGTGTTCCTCAATGAATTGTTATTTCCAGTACGGCGGATAGCCTGGCCAATAGAGATCGTTGTCGAGTTGGTCAAATCGCGTTGTATGACGGGCCGTTGGCCCAGTATGGCGAAGGAGGCAAGTACGGTGACCTCTTTGTCGCGGCATTAAAGTCGTATGGAATGCTGTGCATTGGTCTGTACAGGTACAGGTACCGGACTTTTTTCCTTCTCTCGATGGTATTTATTGGATTTATTGTACATGAACATTGTACACGTTACATATTATATCTTGTCTCTGAAAGATTTTCTCATATGGCTGCCGCAATTGTTACACTGCCGTTAATTATCTTTTTACCGTGCCATTCTCGTACTTACTATGTGACTTTTGATTTTTTGCCGCATACTTTTACATTTTGCGTTTTTGCATCATGAAAAAGAAACGCCGATCGTAAGTTGCCTTCATCCAACAAATACCTATCATTTTTTACGATTGTCTTTGTGTCATCTGTTTGTTTAGCTTAGTCATTGTTGCCAGCATTTATTATTTAGTTTAGTTCTGTTCGTTCGTATTTGGTGTGTTTTAGTTTAGTCCATGGATTATTAACGTCCATTGCCCGATCAAACGCTAATATGCAAACGGATCTTTTAGGTTTCGAGACACGAGCTCGTCGTGCGATGCCTCGTCTAAGCGATACGTCATTACAAATCCACCGGATGACTTTACCTTATTACCCACAGATCAGGTACTCCATCATTTTTACAGACCTTTCTTATAGATTAATTATAATACTTCATAATTTGTTCTGAAAAATACGAAGTCTGGCTTCGCTATCGCATCTATTTTTAGACCCTTCGTCTTATAGCTACCTTGATTATATAACATAAAATAAGGAATCACGCTTAATTTAATTTTCGAACGACCCACAACGAAGTTGCAAATTATTAAAAGGATTGTTCTGTTTGCTAATCGACAGGTGTTCGTGCTAATGCAGTTCGATCCAGGTCTCGAATACAAGCCAAGCAGAGGAGCGAGAGGGAAGGACGACGCCTCCTGACTGTTGCTGTGTAGCGCCCTCACCGACGGACCTTATTCCTATATATAATCGTGCAAAAGGAAGCCATCATGCCGTCCGTCAACCCTACGGATCCATCTAATCTTCGTTGGCTGGCATTTTGGTACGACATCGCGTGTCCTCAACGAATTATCGCAAAACCCCGTCCATAGAGCAAGTCATCAGCACGTCCGTTTTCTCCGCTGGTCACGTGTTGCCAGCGATGTTACTCTCGCTAAATCGCAGCTGGATCAGTTTCCCTTCATAGTGTCCGCAGAATTCTTCGTTCCTTGTTACTCATCGCTGCGTGATTCGTTTTTTCTTTTACATCGTGACCGAACATTTTTACGTTGAGACGTGGTCGTAGCAAAGAGGAGACACAACCATCAGTGACGCGTGGGCGAAGAAGTCAAAAAAAAAAAAAAAACGAAGAAATGAAAATGAAGATCTGCGACGACGAGATAGAACACGGAAGAAAAAGAAATGAAATCGAAGGGAAACGGGAAGCGGCATGGTGAAAAAACGTGGTCCGAGGGTAGCTACACGTTACGCTCTTTAAATACTCGTAAGATATTAAAATATATCGTCCTCCGTTCCGCGAGGGCAATATACGGACTGAACGGCTTACCGTGAAGAGTAAAACTGTGTGATTAAATCCCCCTCCCCATCCCTTCAGAAATAAAGTAACAGAGGAGACGAGAAATAAATATAATACCTAAACAAACAAAAAATAAATAAATAAAATAAAAACAATGCGAAGCAAGCAGCTTAAAACCTTAAACGCTTGAGAACATCTTCAAGGCTGATCGCTGAGGAATTGTAATTCGCCTTTGCGACTTTAAAAGTATACCATCGCTGTAGCTCATTCAAGATAATGTAAATAGGTACAGAAGAGATGAATATATTGTCGTTCTACAGTAAACTGTATAAAAAAAAAAAGAAGACGATGACGATGGAGGATACACCCGCCGGAGGATACAGAAGAGATATGAAGAAAATTTATTCAGATCGATTCTCATCAAGACATTTTTTGTCCTTAAAACGTAAAATGCATTGTTCACTTCGCAGGGCAGAGTCGTGTGTTCGTCTCTCATATCGTGATTTTGTACCTTGCCTTGTCTGCAAAAGATATAAAGAAGAAAAAAATTAACGTATGCATATATGTACATGTATGTGTATACATGCATATGCAGGGTGGCCCCTGCAACTGCGACAGACTGCAACTCTTAGCTACGAGACAACCAAAACTGGTATAGGAAAGCATCGTACGATTTAGTAAAGTTTCCTTAAGAACTCTATGACATAACCTCATAACTCTATGACAAAGGTGCTGAAGCAAGACGACTATGGAGTACCTCAGAAGTTATTCCAATTCGTTCACGTTAGGATTTATCAAACATATGGATTTCAAAATTTCATTGTATCCTGTGTAATATTACCAGATTATTCAATACTTGCATTACAATCATTTCAATGATTTTATTTCATTTGAATTTGTATCGTAACCGAGCTGTATCGTCTTGCAGGTGAGAAGTCGATTTCCCTGATTCGTACGATGCGTTTCGCTGGTTTACTTCAATCTTAATGAAAAAAAGACTACGACTCGTTTCGGTTGCAAGGATCACCTTGTATAGATAGTTTTAGATCGTATCACTTGCAAATGATGTGCCGAGATATAATATAGAGTGCGTGTGAACGGGAGTGCGGGGCTACGTGTAACCTTTACCTCGTGTCTTGTGTTGTGGCTAAGGACAAAAAAATTTCAATCAAGTACTTTGTACAGGTTCTATACATAAACGTATATATATGTATTTATACAAGCGCATGTATATATATATTTATAATGTGTATATTTATACATATATATATACATGATAAAAAGACCCTTTTCCACACGACTTTGAGTATAAATCGACTATATATATATACACATATATATATATATATATATGAAAATTATAGGTATATATGCACATATGTGTGTATACATAGACACTCTCTCTTTTATATATTTTTGTGAAACTCACGTACGTGTATATACGAATGTACATATATACATACATTCATACACGTATACAGATATGTATGTATGCATGTATATCCATAATGTATATGTATACATACATGTATGTATATATACATATAAGGATGAATGGAAGTATACATACGTAAGGAAAATACACGGATACACCTATACACACGAATACTTCTTCGCTCTCGCTCTCTATCTCTTTCTCTATCTCTCTCTGTGGCACTCGCGCACCCTTTATATGCGCGTGTGCGTGCTGACACTAATTCGATATACGCACACGTACGAGAACGAAGTATGCCCGCGCACGGGCAGAGACCGGACGAAACTTTATTCGAATACAGCGATTTATTCGTGACGTTTATTCGATCCGAATTTGTATTCGTTCATCGTAAAAAAAAAAAATTTCATAAGCGGTTGTATGTAAACAGAAACGAATATTCCATTCTACGATTCAAGCTACGAGTTTCGTTCGCACGAGTAACGAATATATATCGCGTTCACGTTTTATTCGTTACTCGAATATTTTGGATCTGAAGTAGAGCGTTGCCCCGGTCTCTGATACACGTGCACGCATACACGGAAACAACACGGTCACAACGATACAAATTCACGGGCACACGCGCCTAAAAAAAAAAAAAAAAAACGACGACACCCGACGAAAACTAATGGATGGGACGAGGGATCGGACAAAACGGGAGCCAGGGGATGCGATTAGCGCGCGGCCGAACGACAATACACGGAACTGTGGGATGTGCAAACGCGTGAAAGAGGGGGGAAAACGACAAAGAGATCATAAAAAAGTAAATAAATAAATAAAAGTAGATGCGCGTGTCAACGACCAGCGCGACGCATCTACCGAAAACGAATACACACACGCACGTCGAAATTCGCGGCATTCGGCCGGATTTAAATCGAATTAAACAAACGAACAAAAAACAAAAACAAACAAAAAAAGAATTTGCGCAAAACGGGAAAAGGAGCGAATTTACAAAAGCGAGAACAAGGGAGGAATACAAGGTATGTAGCCTGTGGTAGACGCTGCCGTGTATCGCGATGTAAACGAGTCGCCGCCGCCACCGCCAGTTGCTGCTGATTGCAATATTCATGTGCACTATTCACTGCCACTGCAGTTCGTGTTTTATCGTTGTATATAACTTTCTATGTACGGGCTCGATTATGGCGAGAAGGGCTCTTGTCGAGTGCAAAGAGAAGGCGCAGCGTCAGCCGCACAAAATGTCGTCCGTACTCCTGTTCTCTAGACTCTTTTTCATTTCTTTTTTCTCTTTTCATTTATTATTTCTTCATTTCATTTGATTTTCTCACAAATTTGTATCGGTTCGGTTTCTCTCCTTCGTTTGGCGATGTAAGATTAATAAGAATGCGTTCCTGTTAACCACTGCGTATCCAGGACGAAGGCGTCGATAAAGACAAAAGACAACGCTTTTCGTCGCGATTAAATTCGTTTCAACCCTTTCGTCTGGGGGTTTGACGAAACGGTTGTAATTTCGTTCATGTGAGTGTAAATGCTTGAAAGTTTTATACAGATTGATTCTGATCGCGATCAATTATCGATTACGAGGAAATCGCGACGAGCGAGACACGTTCGAGCCGTTAGAAACTTCAAACGTGTACCTTTCATACATTCGCGGCGAGCAAGGTATTCCTTTGATCAATGCACTTTGTGATTAGAGAATATTTTCCTTTGTTTGATACGTCCGTTTTTTGATTGACACGTGCGATTATCCGTCGATCGGTGCAGTTAGTTTAGGTGTATTATACATTCGTAGTATTGCTGGGTTTATTTCGAATCTATTGAAAAGACAACCAACCGAGGTAGAATTTCGTTGGAATAAAATAGGAGATTGATTTTACGTGAGATAGATTAGAATATTAGAAATATTTATTTGAGACGCTGTAATTAAAATAATTTTAAAGATCATTATTCGACACGCATTGCTCGTTACAAGTATTATTTGATAAGGAAGTTAAAAGTTACTAAACGAATATGCGTCTATGTCTAAAGCGTTTGTTTTGCTTTGTCTAATAAGAAATGTGACATTTAACGAAAAACTGCTTTGTGTATTTGTGCACATTCGCGTATGCGACGTCTATGTATAGATTTGTTTAAATGTTACGAAATATCGATTGTGTACGAATTTGCGAAGATAATATTCCAAAAACGTTTCTTTGCACGTACAATTAGGAATCGTTCTGTGTGTTTATTAAAAGCAACGCGCTTCAAATATTTATTTTAGATCTGCAGAGTCAAATAAATATTTCAGACTAGTTTTTATTCGCAACACGTAGACAGAAAATATCATTTCACATTGATCATGGTGAATTCGGTCTAGGATATATGCAGACTATGTAAAAAGTTCTACGTTTCGAATATCAATTTAGTCCAGCACTGCTACTGTGACAGCGTTCGAACTATCGATACCAAATCTCGCTGAAATTCGAGGAATTAAAGGATAGAAGGCGTTCTATCCCATACTTTGACGCTGTAAACTGAAAGCAGCCCACGAGTGATCGTGGAAATCGAGAATCTTTTTTTTTTTAACGAAACAATAGCAAATCATTTATATGGAATTTCGTTGCAGGGATCAGATTCTCTTTTTCCTACTTTTCGTTTACTGATCATTGATTAGGAATGAAGAAAGTAAGAGTTCCACGTGATATATTTACAATTGATAGAAAAACACAAATGGTGGAGTCAACGAAAGACCTGATACGAAAGATTTTTTGTTGAGAATCAGAGAAATCCTTTACTGTCTTGGTTGGTGCTTTGGAGCCTGATAGTTTAATGTCATTCGATGAAAGTACCGATAGAACCGAGCTTAACGCATAAATTCTTGTATTTATGAGTGTTATATCGACGAAATGATCGTTAGGTATTCATTGATGTTCGTTATTGGTAGTATAAAATTAGTAACGTTAATTGGCATCCAGGAAATCATAATACGTTTCGAATACGTCAGTACCCAAGACGGTAAAGGTTATATAGATATAGCGACTTCTCGACAACAGTCGCAATTTTATTACAAAAATTGAGTCTCTGTATCTTGATTCGAGCGTACTGCTTGACAAGGATATTGAGATAAAGTAACAACAGTCACCATAATCAAGTCGAGACTTTCGTTGACATTATCCTAGTAATCGCTAAAATCAACAAATTGGTATTCGTGGGAAAAGGAATGACTGAAAATTCAAATCGAAATTTTGTTTCTTTTATAAAATTAGATTTTACGAGGCGTAAAGAAGAAGAATTCACGTACTACTAAAAAAAAGACAAGTGTGTTCATAGTAAGAGGTTAATTTAATTTTCGTGAAATTGTTTGGCGTAGCCAAGATTTAGAATCGTGTGAAAGACTAGAAAATTCACGATGACCCTGCCTCGCCTTGCTGCGTTATATAAGAAACAAAAATTCGCGCGTTAAATTTTTGCGGAAATGGTGCATCATGTGAAAAAACGAAACCAAAAAAAAAAAAATATATATGAAATTTGTCGGAGCCTTGTGTAGAATTTTAGATGATCGATCGAGATTTGCGTCGCGTGGAACCGGCCAGGCGATAGAATTTTACTCGGTAAAATGCGTGAATGTTCCTAAAATTCGATATGTCTCCCCATTCGTGCCGTTCTTTCTTTTCTTACTTTCGTTCGTTTCTCATTTCTTTTTCGTTCGTTTACTCAACAATATCAGATCGTAAACGAGTTACCACGCCCGTTTACGCGTTACGATAACAAACAAAACGGTGAGAATCAACGATCGTTCTTTACAACATGATTTGTTTCACTCTCTGGACGGGAAACTCGTGCCTAGCTGCTCGCAAGATACAAATTGTTCATGCACTCTCTTTAATAATTAAATCATGCACCGATTCAATCGATATCATCCCCCTCCCCCTCCCACCCCCCGTAATCGTATTCTCATGCGTCGCACGAATACACTCGGCGCGTTTGTGTGTATGTGGAACGTGTGTATCTAAACGAAGTATATATATATATATAAAATTAACGATAATGAAACCCACAAAATGAACAAAAAAAAGAAAAAACAAACAAACAAATGAAAATGAAGATGAAGAACAAAAGAAATCGAACGAAATACTAAAATAATTTGCAATAAATATGAGAATTATAAAATGTATAAAGAGAAGAAAATTAAGGCACGCTGAGCGTACGCCACCTTCGATGCCTCATTGACCTCATCTAATGCTTTTTTATCTGTACATTTACAATTTGTGTACCAATGAGGAACGTTGTTTAATCATGTTGTTGATGTTATTGTTAAAGAATGAGATTCAATATTGTACATAACTATATATTCATTATAATTGATGATATAAATAATTATATACATAAAAGTAAACTCCAGAGCCCCCTTATGCCTCACATTTCAACGAGCGGATTCACGTCATTTTTTAATAAAAACAAACAGGTACTTTACAAGCATGGCTTGGGGAGGATGAGACTGGCAGCGTGGGAACGCGAAACTGCAATTTTCGATGTGCAATTTTCGTTTGTGATTATCTCTTTTAGATAGTCGAACAAGTCTTTCTTCACTGTTGCAGTCGTCGTTCATCCCACGCTGACGGAGTAATCCATGTCCTCATGATTTTGAATTCGTTGTACTCGTAGCGTTTATAGTGATTATTTTTAATTACCAATTCATACTCCCATTTTTGTTACTACAATTTGCAAGTAAGTATAGACAATATTATGCTACGCGCATGTGAGTTTAAAGTATTTTAAGTAATGATTGGACAATATTTTTATTATCGAGCCACTGTCCTCGACAGATAACAATAGCATCGCTGTTGTATACTCAACGACGGCTGGATACATAAAACTCAACGATGGACCGAAATTTTTTCACTATAAATTCCTAAATGTGCAACGCGAAAAATTCTTGCTCATCTAAAATTTAATATTAACGTAGACATGACCTCTACAAGGAAATCTAATAAAAAATAAGACTACAAGAACACAGGGACCTCTAAGGATCCAATCCTATCGCATTCTCTAAATGTTGAACGCAACAGGCTGCTTCTTATCACGATTACTATTATTCCACTGCAAAATAGTCTGGGACTATTTAGACCGCCTCTCGCTGTGCTCATCGCTCACGTTTCAAGTTAGCGATTAAGATCGGTATATCGCATCTCTGATATCTACACTCAAAACAAGTCCCAAAATTCGTAACGGTTTTATCCAGCCACGTGGTCGTATAGCTCCAGAAGTGCATCCAGCATCCTGGCCCGATATTCAGGCACGCTCTTCAGCTGCTCGCAGATTAGGGGCGTTCTGTCCACGTAGAGGATGTTCTCCAAGAGGTGTGGCTCGTCGGCGAAGTACTTGCTGGCCGCGCTGGGTTCCAGTAGCATGATGGGTATATTCAGAACTCCGTGAATCATGCACATGAGTCGCAGGTCTTCGACAGTTCCGATGAACTCGTCCCACGGGAATACTTGGGAAATATCTAGGTTGGCTTCGCGCAGAGCATCCGCCATTGATTCGTGGTAGATTTTGAATAATTCTTCGCCGCGTTCCTCGCGCTGCTGTCGAGTCGTTGTGAATTGGAGAAAGCAGAGAATGTCGTGTGCAGGTGGGTTGTATCTAAAAGAGACAACGGTTTGTGTAGAGTTTGGTTTGTGTGGGTGTAAATCGTGCTTTGTGATTTGTTTTCAGATTCATTAGCGTTTCATGGTTAATGGATGTTATTGATATCGAACAGTAAATAGATTGACGCGTAGCTATTACTCTTCTGACCCTTCTCAAAATATCTGTCTGAGAACTTCATGAAGGACGCGATTTGTT